CTGCGGGACGGCGCTGCGACAACCCCCTGGCGTGGGAGACCGAACAGGGTGCCAACGGCGACGAGGCCGCCGACCCCGCCCCCGACGAAGTCTCGATCCCTCCGCCCCAAGATGACCCCCGAGACCACCAGCTGGCCCCCGAGAGCCCCCGACGCGCTCCAGGAGGCCCCCAAGAAGCCCGAATCGGGCCCCCAGGAGCGCCCAAGAAAGAAACCTCCAAGACACCACCAGGACGCCTTCCACGGGCTTCCGAGAGGCCTCCCAGGAGATCCCCATGGGCATCCAAGAGGCATCTGACCTTGTGGCGGAATGAGCCGAAGGCCATTCGATTCAGTCATGCTGAGCGGGGTTACAAACTGGATCAGGCCTGATTTCGACTACAGTCGGCATGTATCATAAGGATGCGCGATAAGGATGCACGGGCCTTGGAAGGCCATTTTGAAGCATTTCGAGCGGGGCGCGGCCAACGAAAGTGGCCAAGGATGGACCGAGGAGGCAAGGATGCGAGGATACCTTTGGGAAGGTTGCTCATGTTTACTATGCGGGTTGACTGTATAAAAATATGCCAGGCCCGATGCTTACCCCTTACCTCTCCCGTCGTGATTTGCTCGCAACGTGGACCCATGGAGCCCTGGACCTTTTCCCCGGGACAAATTGATCATCCTGAGCGGTTTGTTTGACGGTCCTGTCGTAGCCGTTTTCACTGTGAGGACAACTCAACCTCCCCAAGACCTGCAACCTGAGCCTGAGGGGTCGCATCCCTTCCTGAGAGCACGCCGAACGCGAGCGCCAGAGACTGGCGAAGCGCACCGGGGGGCAGGGGGAGAGGGGGAAGGCTTCGTAGGAGGAGGACGCTTCTCAGAACGCGCCGGCCTTGCATCTATAGGCAAGGCCAGCAGGGGTGCCTCTAAGAAGCCTTCCCACCTCCCACCAACCGCCTCTGCGCGTGGCCGAAATCGCTCCCGCTGGTCGCCTGCAGCCTGCACCTGCTCCACGAGGGCGTCGCCGCCGTCGCCGCGGTCGGCGGGCCCCGCGACCTCTCGGGTGCGGCCCGACGACGGCCCCCCTTCCTGGAAGGGGGCCATCGGCGTAGACAGGCAGTCGAAGCATGGGCACAAAAACCTCCATCGACGCGCCAAGGCATGGCCCTTCGCCTGGGGCCCGAGGCCCCCCGGAGATACGCCGAGCGAGGGCCATTCCCAGGTGGAGGGCCCGAACAGGAAGAGCCTCAGAGTACCCCTCCGGGCTGTTCTTAACCCTCCTTCCAGCTGCAACGGCATAATGCACACGTAAACGTTCGGGGATCCGCGCGGATCCCTGGACCGGCGCTGCAACGCCCGCCCCTGGGGCGCGGAGCGCGCCAAGGGGCCCGCGTCCATTGGCGCGGCGGCGCCGCTGGCGCCGCCAGGGGGACCCAGCGCCGATCCGAGACATCCGCGCGGACCTCCGAAAGCCTCTAAGGAGATACGCTTCCCCCCCGCGGTCCCGGAAGCCCGAAGAAGTCCCCAAGAGTTCTCCACGACACCCCCAAGAGGCCGCCAGCGCCCCAAGAGTCTCCAACAGGGTGCCGTTACGGGGGCACCGAACGGACATTTCGAGCCCTCGGCCGCGAGAGGATCCCAGGAGGCCCCAAAAGGCACCCAGGGAGCCCCAAGAGGCTCCCAAGAGGCTGCCAAGAGGCCCCCAAGATGCTCCCACGAGGCCCAAAATTGCCCCCGAGAGGCCACTGAGAGCGCTCCGAAGAAACCCCAGACAGCATCCCTGAAGACTCTGACCCACGTCAGCGTCGTCGTCGTCGCAGCCGCCGCCGCCGCCGTCGTCGTCGTCGTCGCAATTGTCGTTGTTGTCCCCCTTCAGGGTCGGCGGCACCGGCCGTAAGGCCTTCGCAATCCTCATGCTGGACATCTGCCTGTGCAACCTGGACGCGTGAAACCAAGCGTCTCGCTCGAGACATCCTGAAGACCTGAGCGCGCGAAAACAAGCATTTCACTTGAGAGATCCTCTGAATTCTGATCCCCAAAAGAGAAGGACAGCTCATAACACAAAACAAGCGTTTCGCTCGAGACATCCTCAACATGTTTTGCAAAACAAGCGTTTCGCTCGGGACATCCTCAAATGTTAATTCGCCGGCCATACTCGACCTCGTTGTGTATCGCAGATTAGATTCGCCGGCCTACAGCCGTCCAGGCAGGGGGTGAAACCTCTAAAAGAGAACCTTGGGCAAGAGCCCTTCCCCGGAAAAACGCAAGAGGAACCTCGAGCATATACTTAAGTGCCTGCGTGGTGATTACTGCTACAACTTGTCTACGACTACTACTTCAACTACTTCTACTCCTCTTCCTCCTCCTCCTCCTCCTCTGCGACTACTACTACTACTACTACTACTACTACTACTACTACTACTACTACTAGTACTACTACTACTACTACTACTACTACTACTACTACTACTACGACTACTACTACTACGACTACTACGACTACTACTACTACTACTACT